TGAGAATACAGATATCTTAGATCTAGAAGGTTACGATAATAACTTCGGTTGGCATGCATATCTATGGTATGACAAGGTAAAGGTTCATAAAAATTTCAAAAACCATATTGTCAGGAAAGCATTGTATAATGTATGGAATCGGTATAAAGATCTGTTGGAAAGTAAAACCCCCAGGTGGTTATCACCAGTGGAAGCTAAGGCGGTAAAAAAACTCAACATGGACCCAGTGTGGCCAAAATATTGTGAAATTATAGAATATGATGGTGAAAAGTTGAAACTAAAGAGCTTTGAGAAGTTAAAGCCTAAAGTCCGAGATTGGTTACATTACCACCAGATTAATGAGACTTTTAAGCAGGACAGGAAATTAGGATTCCAGAAGGAGAGGTCAAAATTAGAAACAGAATTGCTAGAACCCAATACTAAGAATCTGTCTAGAATGTATAATTTGCTGCTAAAATGGAACACACAGGATGAAATAGTGAAATCAGCTATGATTAAGTGGGCACAGGATATTGGACATGATATTATGTTTGCGGACTGGGAACAGTTATGGACCACAGGCATTAAATTTACGGCATGTAGTGCCTTAAAAGAGAACATAATGAAAATGATCTATAGGTGGTACATGACCCCAGTTAAACTTGCAAAGATATATCATTTGCCCAATAACAACTGTTGGAAATGTAATGAATGTGAAGGAACCTTTTATCATCTTTGGTGGACTTGCCCGAAGGTTAAGGCTTACTGGGAAATGATTTATAATGAAATTAAGAAAATCCTTAAGTGGACATTTGTTAAGAAACCGGAGGCCTTTCTCTTGGGCATGGTCGGCCAAACGATTCCAAAGAAAGATCGAACCTTTTTTATGTATGCAACCACAGCAGCAAGAATTCTTCTGGCAAGGTATTGGAAGACTAAAGATCTACCTACTCTGGAAGAATGGCAGACCAAGGTGATTGAATTCATGGGACTGGCAGAGATGACCGGCAGAATTCGTGACCAGAGGAGAGAGACAGTGGAGGAGGACTGGAAAAAATTTAAAGTTTATCTTAAAAATTGTTGTAAAATTGCTAGTCAGATTCTATTCCATTAGCACAAGAACACAAGAATAGCCTTGCTGGATCAGGCCAGTCACCCATCTAGTCCAGCATCCTGTTTGCACTGTGGCCAACCAAATGCCCATAGGAAACCCACAAGAAGGACTTGACTGCAACATTGATCTCCCCCTCCTGTGGTTTCCAGCAATGGGTATAGTCATCCTGGACAGTAGCTATTGATAGGCTTCTCCTCGAAATCCTCTTTTAAAGCTGTCCAAGTTGGTGGTCATCACTGCCTTTGGTGGGAGTGAATTTCACAGTTCAGTTATATGCTGTGTACACCCTCTCTCCTCTGTTATTTTAAGTTTGCTATTGGATATTTAAAATGAGAGGCCTGGTTCCGGCATACCAAATTCGAAATGAAAACAAGAATTGGAACAGTCAATCAATAAAAATAAATTGGTATGAGCTGATTATCATTGCTGGCAGAGCATTTTTCTGCTATGTAGATTACGAATAGTCTAGGAAGTTAGGCCTGATGATTCCACAGTGGGTTAAGAGCTTATCTCCTGATAGGTGTGGAATCCCAGCATTCCAGCCAGAGCTTGAAGAGGACACTTCCATCTGTTAAGGCATGGGTAGGCAAACTAAGGCCCCAGGGCCAGATCCGGCCCAATCGCCTTCTAAATCCTGCCCGCGGACGGTCTAGGAATCAGTGTGTTTTTACATGAGTAGAATGTGTCCTTTTGTTTAAAATGCATCTCTGGGTTATTTGTGGGGCATAGGAATTCATTCATCCCCCCCCCCTAATAGAGTCTGGCCTCCCACAGGTCTGAGAGACAGTGGACCAGCCCGCTGCTGAAAAAGTTTACTGACCCCTGAGTTAAGGAGTGGGGTCCAGATATAAAGTGCGAAGGAGACTGTGTTTGAATGAGGCAGGCAGCCTGCAATCCTAACCCAATTTACATGGAAGTAAGCTCCAGGATTTACTTCTGAATAGGCATGGTGCTAGGGTTGCACTGTAAGCAACTGTGAGCTAACCTACAATTTAATTTGGGGAGGGAATGCTATTAATGTCCCCTTAAAAGGCTATCATTAATATTTTATTGGGGGGGGGTTCATTTCAGGACTGCACCAGAACCAAAAAGGCTTGAAATAGAAACAAATGTACCCTACTTTCTCGCCTCCAACGATTAAAATTTCTCCCCACCAAAATTTATCAACCAAAGGGTCAGTTTTTAATGTATTTATCCAATGCATAGTACATACACAAGCAAAACCATTAGAATGGATATAACATGGAAAAAGTTGCACATTGTCCCATGACAAATAAAAATTAGGAAATGGCTATATTTACACAACAGTTTTGCTTATTTATTGAGCATTGGGGCTGATCCTATTAGGCAAATGGAAGTGGTAGCCTTGGGCAGATGATTTTGGGTGACAAATTGTTTGTTACTTTATTTATTAGGATTGTGTTTTTACTTCTAGGGAGAGAGAGCAATGAGATTATCTGTCTCAGGTGCCAAAATAACTTGGTCGGTCTTGGGTATAATGCCTCTGACTTTGGCAGGGCTGGGGAGCATTTGCTTTTCCACCTCAGGCAGCAGAATGTTTTGAGCTGGCCCTGTTGGGCATATAAAACTAACAATCCAAACTGATTATAATATTCAAGCACCTCAATCTTTGTTGTTTAGTCGTGTACCTCAATCTAGTCAGGGGTATATCTGGAGTTGGATGAGAAACTGCACTCACAAAGAGATGCTGGATACGGGGACAAATAGAAGAAGATGCCTTCACCCCGGTATGGCTCCCCTTTATCACATACACAGCCCAACAAGACAACGATAAGAATCCACCAACGGCATATGAATCAATATGGCTAACCTGATCCTAAACATCCACCCACCCCACTCACACATGAAAACAAAGTTCACCACAGCCAATCACAAATGAACAACCACACCCTAGGCCAACCCTCTCACCACCAAAGGAACACAAGCGAATAGTAAAGACGCTGACACAAAACCCCACACATGCACTAAGTAGAATAGATTCAATAGAAGCATTGCCACCCGACCCCACCCCCACTCACCATGCCCCCTCCACCTCTCCCCCTTCTTCCTAATGTAACACTAATGTCTCAACAAATGAAACTGATCTGTAAAAAATGTAACTTGAAAAAAGAGACATTGCACATACTTTTGTGCCAAGAAATTGTTAATAAAAATACATTAAAAACAAACAAACACAAACAAACAAACAGATGCTGGATATGCAATTCCCTTTTTGTCAAAGCTGCCTGGGCTAATTGGTACAAATACTGATTTATTTGTTTATTTAGACAGGGCTATGTGCCCATGACTGTGGCAGGTCTGTGTCTATAAAGTTGTATTGGAGCCCAAATCTCTATTAGCACTAATAGTACAATGAGTGTGATTTTTGTACCTTAGATGATTTCCCCCCAAGAAAATGGTGTGTGTATGTGTGTGTTTGTATAATCACAAAAGGATGGAGGTCAATTTCTAACTCCAATTCAAGTTGTTAATATTAGTGTAAAGGTAAATGGACCCCTGACCGTTAAGTCCAGTCACGGACGACTCTGGGGTTACGGCTCTCATCTCACTTTACTGGTCGAGGGAGCCGGCGTTTGTCCGCAGACAGTTTCTGGGTCATGTGACCAGCATGACTAAGCCACTTCTGGCGCAAGTACTTGAAATTATTGAAATGAGTCCGTAAGTGACTGTGGAGGCCAATTCTGGGTCCACATGTCCTTCCACAGTGGGGACATTGGTTTCCGGGCGGGAGTTGATCACCAACCTGGTTTTTAATTCAGTGGGGGAGACTCAGCTTCTGGTGTCTTTAGTAAATGCAGACTATGGGGCTACCACAGAGCAGGCCCTTCTTGGTCATAGTGTTCTTTATATTGGTTTCATTCAGGCATCAGCTAAAGGTGAATTTATTCATGCAGGTCTTCAGAACACAGGGGGAAGGACTTTGCCTATTTTATCGCTGACTGTTTTATTGCATTTTTATATGTATTTGTGATTTTCGAACCATGATCATAATGACGTTTTGTGTGTTGCATTTATCTGGTTGACCACTGTGAGAACAGGATACTGGGTCATTGGTCTGAATCCAGCAGCTTGGAAGTTATGTTGCCTACATCTCAGATGTGTGCGAGATGCCTGTGGTTATTCAGGAATGAATGGAAGTTACTTTGTACATTGTCAGAGGTTCTCTGTTCAGTGACCCTGGCGCCAAACACAGATGCCAATTCTTGTCAAATAAACCTTAAGTAAAAAAAGGTGCCCAGCTGTCTCTGCCATCTCTCCTTAACCATGGTTGTTATTCTCACTATGTTAGGGTTTTAATATCCTTAGAGCAAAGAGCCATTTGCCTTTTCCTTACCTTGCAGGCAAAGTATTATGTACAGTACTTCGATTGCATCACCATCATCCAACATTCATGTATTATTATTAAGATTATCTCCAGATTCCTTTTAAGAAGTCTGCCAAGCGGCAGGTGCATTTAATTTCAACCAGAGAAATGCACATTGCTCTAGGGTAAGAGGATAATTAAAAAGCAGGATATTTGATAAAGTTCAAAGATGAAGAGGGCCACGGCGATTTCATCGTAAAACTGCAGCACCCAGCGGAATCAAAGACTTGACATTCATTCATCTTTGAACACAGCAAAAATTAAAAAGTTGCCGGAAAAAGGTGAAACCATGTGATTTAACTTAACTTGCAGAAAGCAAATGGGGCAATAATAATTGTACATCTATTTATTTTTCAAATCACGATGCCCATAGGGTTCTCCTCCATGCTTAGCCTACGTTTATTGGCTCCTTAGCTTAAGTTCATTGCTTCTTCGTTTGCTCTCGCTAGGCTCCCGTCCTCGTCCTGCTCCCGAGCAGGGCGCGCTGTCCCTTTAAGAGGCCGCCGCGCCTGGGCTGCACTGTCTCTTTAAAAGGCTGTATCCTGCGGGTCCCCGGCTCTTGAAGAGGGCTATGGCCATTGTTTCGCTCCTGCTCTTTCCCCTCTTCCTCCGGGTCTGATCAATTTAACCACCACCACCGCACAGCTTTAAGACATCTACATATATTTTAAAAAGGACAGCAAGATGGCTGAGATGGGCAAGGGAGTCACCGCAGGGAAAATCGCCAGCAATATGCAGAAGAAGCTCACCCGGGCCCAGGAGAAGGTATGGGGAGAGCGCGGGGCGGAAAAGGCAAGGGGCTGGGCCGGCGGGCCGGGCGTCGCGTCTGCGGTTCCCCGGGGCGCTGATGGGGCTTCATGGGTGCGGGGAGAGGGGAAAGGGTCGCCAGTCCAAGGAGCAGGGTGGGCGGGTGCGCCTTGGCGAGAGTGGCGCAATGCAATTCAGTGGGGCGTCCTTCTCTCGCCTGCTCTCCTGGAAGTGTAGTCCCTGCGGAGGATCCCTGGTGCGCCTTGACAGCTCGGCCACGTCTCCTCCTTGCCCGTCACCCCCGCGCTACTTTTTTGGGGTGCCCACGCTGCGAGACCCCCCGGGGTGGGCTTGGGAGCAGGGCAATGCAGTCTTCGCTCCTGGCTCGTAGGCTGCTTCGGAAGTGGAAGTCCGGCTGCCTTCAACACGAGGGCTTCAAATCACAGTCTCAGAAGCGCAACATGGGGCCTGGGATAGCAGACAACTCCTACGAGCCGAGGACCCTTCTGCCCCTCCTAAAATATTTGAGGGGGCTGCCCCCCAAGTTGATGGCCATTCCCATTCAAATGGTGTGCGTTTGCCGTGTCTTGTAATCGATTATGTGGGGCGCTGCTTACCCCCCCCCCGAATATTTTATTCAAGTTGGCACCCCTGGCCTGGGTAGTGGGAAGAGGGGTGGAGAGAGAGAGATCGGCAACGGGTGTAGGATGGTGGCTCTGCTTATTTTGGAGACTCCTACCCAGTTGGTGAAGCCGAGGGGAAGGTTATTAGGGGCAAAGGCATTATGGCATATGGGATGGAAGAGAAACTCGACCTCTCCATGGGATGATGTCCCTCTGTTCTCTCCCAACCCCGTAATCTCTCCTATATTGGCGTGTTTGTAAGGTGTCCCTCAGCCTCGACCCGCTTCCCTTCCAGCGGGGCAAGCGGGACAGGTCTGCTGTAGGGCGAAAGCGACGCGCGCTGTGCGTGCGGACACACCGCGGCTATTTTTAGCGGCGAAGGTCAGCGAAGGAAAGCGCGAGAAAACCCACCGCCACTACCGGGGGTTTGGCCCGAAGCCCGGACGAGATGGCGAGGCCTTGGGATGGGATTCTGGGCGGACGGATCGACTGGTTCTCTATAGGGAAGGGCGCGCTTTGCCGTTGCCCCCTGGCGGGGGTCCACGGCGCCCACTTTACGCCTGCAATAAGATGCATTTGTGTTTATGGGGGGGGGGGAGGCTTCGCGTCCCAAAGACCGAACAACCGAACAGGGTTAAAACCCACCTCGAAAAGGGAAAGGAAATTTGGGGGGGGGGTCCCGGGGAGTTGGAAATCCGCTCTGCAACGTCAGAGGAGATGTGGACGAGATTCCTCCCTTTACGCACGCGTGAGATGTCCGCCTCCTTCCCCACCCCGCCTCCCCCAGGTTAAGATGCTTCAATTGCAGCTCCTTCACCTGCAGGGCAAAGACAGCAGTGGGCCGTTTCCTCTTCTGTCTGTCTAACAGAACACGGAGAGAGCTCAGTCCGGATTCCCCAGCCCCCCCCCCCCCCTGTGCTTGGAGATCTCCCTGCTGTCCCCGTGGGCAGCTCTCGCAGTCTCTCCATCTCCCTCTCTCTTGAGCGCATGCGGGGGAAGAGCAAGGCAAGCGGGCGCTGTGGCTGGCCTTGGATCTGGCTGGCTCTTCTCCCCTAATCCACTCCCGTCTCTCTATCCCCCCCCCCCTGCCGCTTTGCTGTGGCCACTTTTCCCGATTGACAGGCGCGCATAGGTCAGGCTGCTGCGAGAGCGGGCTTGTGTCGAAAGCGGCTTTCTGGAGTGGCTCGGCGGGAGATTAGGGCTGCCTGCCTGCAGTTCCATCCGAGAGAGACACACAGAGGGCTCTGCGTGGGTCAGGTGCCATCAGAGGCGGCTAGGATTGGGGGAGATGAAATCCACTGCCTCTGCCCACCCCCTCGCTCTGGTCGTGTGGAAGAGACCGCAGGCGTGCTGCATAAGGCGTGGAGAGGCGGAGGAAGTGCTGCTACGCGCCACGCTTCTTCACCGGATTACTCGCTGGGTTTGGAGACACAGATGGGCTTACGCTTGCCTTCTTGCTCAGGGTTTGACTGTTGCCAGACTGCCTTCCCCACAGCAACAGCAACCCCCGAAGCTCATTATTGTTATTGCTTTTCTGTGAGGTTGCTGCTTCGCGCCTGTGGGCCTATTCCAACATAGTATCATAGATCTGTAGAGCTGGAAGGGACCCCAGGGTCATCTGTTCCGACCCCCAGCAATGCAGGAATCTTTTGCCCAGCGATCCTGAGCGTTTCAGGCTCTACCCACTGAGCTATCCAAGCAAGCCCATGGAAAGCTTAATTCCCAAAGTGTTCCCTTGTACCTGCCAGATGACATTTTTTCACCATAGTAGCCTCATTCCCACACACTTTAGGATTAAGTTGCTGGAGGATGAAGTAAGCATCTAGAACAATTTCTTTTACTATTGCATTTTCCGCCTGACCACTGGGACAATGTTTCTCTCTCTTTGCCCCCAGCATTTTGTTGCTTGCCAACCTTCTAAGCTTGGTCTGCTTTGGGGCCTCCTGTGCCTTCACCATCAAGCACCAGTTACCTTTTCAGTACCTGACTGTGCAGGGATTCTCCATGTGGCCCCTGGGGGTGGTCCAGTGTTGAAAGTGTCCTCTTTTTTAGAGGAACTCCAGGTTAGGGTGGTTAAAGGAGCCAGTCCTGGCAGGAAGGCAGGAGGGAAGCTCTCTAGGGCTAGGAGGGAGACAACAAGCAGAAGCCGATTGCTTGCTGAGTTCCCACTCCAGGTTCCATCTCTCTTCCAGTCACTAACTCTGCCCTGATACTACTGGGATCAGGATCTTCTTTTTCTAGAAGAGGACCAGAGGGGAAGGAAGCACATACTCAAAACCTAGAGAGGGAGCCTCCATCAGCTGGTGCTGACTTTTGACCCCATGTGGTTGCAAGACCTCCAGCAATCTTGTCACCTTCCTTTGGAGGTGTCTTGCACACCTGCCCCTCTGCAAGGGGGCTTGGCCCAATGTGCGAGAATCCAGGCGTAGGAGGAGAGGTTCTATTTCAGCCTCGCCTAGCTGATGATGGTTGGGGTAAAGTTTCTAAATGAGGTAGGTCTATTTACAGCAGAGCCCTTTTGCCTGTGTGGCAAGTTGCTATGCAGCGCAAAGTGTCACCTTACTCTCAGAAAGGAAGACATGGCTGCTGCACTGCTCCAGAGCAGTTTGGAGCAAATAGTTATTGATTTGCCGTGGAGCAATTTCATCTGGATCAATCAAGGGGATGGCATTCTGTCTTATTTTACTTGTCCCCTTTCTCCAGTTCAAATACGCAGTTCCCTTTCTTTCTTAGGGGACAATTATCACCACAGTTTAAGTCCATAGCCTGCATAGCCTGAAGAGCTTTTCTAAAATCTTTATTCAAGCAGACAACTGGCTGTTATTATTGTTGCTTTTTTGTTGTTCTGGCTTTTATAGTTGTAAGACATTACATAGTGTCACACTTAAGTGAATTCTTTCTGTGAGTGGCTTATTTCAAGGGTAACATAATTTACAGTTTAAACACACAAAATGTAACTTTGTTGTTGTTAGAAACAACTCTGACTTCTGAAATAGAGAATATGTAGCATTTTCTGTTACAGTATCATACCAAAGCCAAAATATCTTTTAAAAATTCAAATTACCAGAAGTTTCTCTTTCTTAACAAAATTACTAGAATTAGACACAAATTGGAAAGAGAAGCTATTTTTTTTAATTTACTTTAAAAAATAATATTTGGATAGGGAGAAGGAACTTCACTCTGTGCTTTGCAGCAAGGCTGGATTCTCCATATCTCCCAAATGATACCCCATATTTTAGAAGTATGTAGCCTGTGGTCTCAATTAGCCTGCCACAAATAAAGAAATCATGCATGCATCCTGTTAGCCTTTCAGAACCAATATTAGTATGACTGAAGGGGATGGATTCAAAAGAAAAGAAACTTTACCAGGAAAATGACATGGTGATGGAAACAGAGGCATACCTACCTAAACTCCCTTGACCCTTGGCAAGGAGCTGTATTGGCACCCCATTATCAGTGCCCCTCTGTCCTTTGTGCCAGCTGACTGGTGAGGAGCCTCCACAGGGCTTCTGCAACAGCCCATGCCAGTCACCGGATTCGTCTGCCCAGAGGAGATTGAGTGCATCGCCCGGCCATGCCAGAGCAGCAGAGGAATGGCCCAGGGAGTGTATGGATTGGGCTGGTGGGCTTCTAGCCACTCTGAGGCAGAGTGGAGAGGCATGATTGTTGTGCCTCCCTGGGCCTGCCCCCTTGGTGGGTACCAACCTGACCAACCCCTGGGTGGAAAAGATGGGAGGAGCGGGCACTGCTTCATTTTGTAACTAGAACACAAAGAAGGAGCAACTTGCCCTGCCTTGCAACTTGTCTTCTTCCTATTGACTAAACAGCTGCTTCCCTGGAATCTGTGGCTGATACAGTCAGGTGGCCATGTGACAAACCCGACAATAGTTTTCCTAAGGCTAACGTTAGCAGGGAGCAAATCCTCCCAGCCAAGTGCCAAATATGGGGGTCCATAGTGCTGTTTATGGTTGAAAAGCGGCGTGCGTGGGTTTGTGCTTAATTCATCATTTAAAAATCAATCTTAACTTGCTGTCCCTACTTATTCAGTGGTGAGGATGCAAGGACATGCACATACTACTGAATGAACATGACCCTTACCAGGTAACTGCAGTACCGAGGTGGGTGTGGGGATCCCTGGAAGCTGTGAACTCTGGTACTGGAAACAGGATTTTGGGATTCAGCCTTCATATACTGTGTGGCAACAGTGCTTTTGGAGTGGATGCCCTGTATGGACTTTCCCAAACAAAATCATGGACTTATTTCTGGTGCTCTCTCTATCACTCTCTCTTTAATGGCTAGAGATATGAAACAAATAACTTTGATGTGTGTTTTGGGAATAAGACAATAAAGCCTCTGGCTGCAGGCTCAGGGTAACTGTGAGTAAAGATTTCTGAC